ATGTCCTGGCTTCTAGTTCTGTTTGTTTAACAGATTCACCCTATTTCTAGATTTTTATTCCTTATGAACATTTTGTCTTTTAACGTCTTGAAGAATGGCCCCCACCCCCGTGTGTCTGTGTGTGTCTGCACATGTCTGTTTGTGTGTAAGAGAAGGGAGGATGGCATTGCTGATGTGCTTTGTAAAGAATTCAAGGTTGTCTGGATTCTCGAAGAATGCAATTGGAAAAAAAAAAAAAACACCACTGTTTCTTTGATTCTATGGTGCTTACATTTGGGCAGAATTTTCTTTTTCCACCCTCAAATACAGTATTTGAGACAATCTGCCCACAATGGAAAGCTTTTAAAGCATCAAAAGTGTAGGCGAACCAAATCAGAATTAATCTCTGTGAAAATGGAGACACCGGTACATAGAAAATTTTAGAGAAAAAATCCGGGAAGCAGACAACCCACAAGAAGGTGTCGGAAAGGCCTCCCAACTCTGTGGAGTAGGACAAGCAAGAAACACGAAGGCTCCAGGAACTTTGTGCTTACATACAATGTGGGGCTGTGTCTAGTTGCCTTGATTATAATTTTCTCTATGTTCTGACTGCAAGGACTCAGTACAGACCACTAAAGGGAAATTCAGGCCTAACTGTGGCTAAGATGAGTTGTCCAAAGCTCATAAGACTTGACCTGATCAATCTTCAGGGTAGGCAGCAGTATTTTTATCATAGCAAAATATATATGTTTTACTGGGAAAAATAACTCTTTTAAAATTACAGTTTTAAAAGCAAAATGGCAGAAGATAACTACCATCACCTTTGAACACCTCAGCACCTGCCTGGCACTGTTTTCCTGTGTGGATTTTTCTCTCTGACTTTATTTGGTCCTCTTGAAGGATGAATGTCAGACACAGAGCCCATTTTCTATTCGGCAATCCTAAGGTTCACAGGTTGTGTGAACTTCCTTGGCCACAGAACCAGTAGGGGCTAAGCTAGGATTCAAATACGAGCCACAGGACACAAAGACTGTGCTGCACACCATGCCTTGCCAGGCCAGACTCCATGTGCTTTTCATGGCATGAAATCAGTGTTGGGGGAATTCTGCCCAGCATCTCTGGTTAGCAGAGTGAATCGCTTTTATCATTTGCCAACATGTCATGGAAAAAAAAACCAAAACAACAAATTTTTTTTTTTTAAAAAAAACTCCTGGCTCTAGATTTCCTATCAACCACCTGAAGTTTGGCTTGGTTACATATTATTTGAATATCTGACAATCTTATAAAAAGTCTAACGAGAATAAAAAATTTTTCATTTATCCTAGCTTTTACATTAGTTAAAAATCTCCTATTCCTCCATAACAATGTGCCTGGGGAACTCTCTAGCAGCCAGAAATGCATCTGAAAATGCTGAAAAGTCAGAATTTGGGCCTATAGACTGACTAATGTTACCAGCTGTGAGTCGGCCTGAACACCAGTAATATGATATTTCCTGCTACAATTTGATTTGGTTAAAATGTGTTTGAAGTTCACCCTTTTATTAACTAGAATTACCACCTCCTGTAACTGGAGGGCCCCTGAGAACAGGCTGCTAGTGCAATCCAACCTCGCAGCCGTCAATGGTGCATTTCCTGGCAACAAATACTATTACATTGATAACTACAGAAATAGGTCCGAATGTCTTTTCAATAGCTGCTGATGTCCCCCTAATGCCCCGCAGTCTCTCATGCTGGCGTTTTCTCTGGGCCTGCAGGAACAACAGCTAGTGGAGAGAAATGGCAAGAAGAGAAGGCTGCCTCCTCTCAGCAGAGCCCGCGACTGTGGAGAAACTCCAGACGGTCGGGGGAGCCCACAGGCCCCAAACTCAGTTCTACTGCTAAATCTGATGACCTGAAGAAAAGCCGGATTCCCCTGAGCCAATTACACTCTCAGATGTAAACAGGACCCCCATCCCACACCAAGATGACTGACTTCAAATTTGTGAATTGTTACAGTTCGCTGGAGGCCAGAATCTTGACAAAGTATTTAGGTTTTAAACTTATTTACAGTATTCTTATAGCCTTACCTACTAGGGCCTTGGCTATCTAAAGTACAAACTTACTTTCATGTAAAATCCAAAAGTAGTATTGTGGCTTATTTTTCATGGGAGACCCTCAGTAACCATCCAGGGGTTGATTATTTACCTACATTTCTTTTTTCTCCTTTCCTGGGAAAAAAGGCTGCCTTTCTGAGTTCCTTCCTCTCTGTGTCTACAGTGAAATGGGGCAAAGTGAACACATCTACTCCCATGGAGGAAAACGACTAAGCCTAGGCAGTCTAGTTTGGCTCAGAAGGAACAAGTACTCACTGCAGGCCAGATGCCTGCGATGCCCCTCGTCAGTGAAGTACATTTGAATCTGTAGCACTTTGGAAAGGCAAACATCTCATTGTGTGGTTAAGGCACGCATGTCTCGATGCTTGGCTACTTCAATCCCAGCAATTACAGCAGGGGAAGGAAGTTTTGAATTGAAACTGGGGGTGGGGGGGGATCGACAGTTTGGGGACAAGGGAGTTGAGGGAGGGAATCAGGTAAGCACAGGACCCTGGGCTCTGCTGGCAAAAGAGAGAGTGACAGGGGTGGTCAGGACCAGAAAGGACTTAAGTATTTTTTGAGTTTTTGGTGGGGGTTTCTCTGGGTCTGGTGACCTAAGGAAAGCCTCACTGGGGAAGCCATGGATTATCTATCAGCTATGCATTGGGACTTGCAGTGTTGACTTGGTTGTGTTGTTCCTGGCCAGGAAGTCAGTAATCATCAAAAGGCTTGCAAACTTCAGGGGAGGACAGCTAAACCCAATTTCGTATGATTTAAACTAGAAAAAACCTACCTGGCCCAGCATCTCTCTGTTGGGTTCCTCCTATTTTCTTTCCTTTTCTAGAGGGAGGAGAGCACTGTGTGAAGAGGAGATGTAGAAGGGGGAGGGACGGAGAGAAGCAGCAGCTCTTCCTAGCTTTGGAGTCAGTGAACCAAGCTTTGTGTTAGGTCGGCACCACTCTGGGTCCTCCAGCAACGTGGGCATTATTAGTGATGGCACGTGACAGGAGGCTTCTGCGGCCATGGGATCTTTCCCCCAGCTTTGAGAGCTACTTTCTTCTCTCAGTTATGCTTGGAAAGTGGTCAGGAGCCGGCCATGTGTACTTTATGTTTTAGGAATGGGGTCGACCTGTCTTTCCCTCCCCAGGGCAACAGGACATACACTTGACTGGAAGTTAGGAGGCCTGAATATTCAGAGAAGGCTGCTCCTGTACTTTGCAGGGTCTGGTCCAGACCTTATGGTTCTGTAATTCACAGACATGAAGGGATGTCTCACACTCAGCAAAAATTATTCTCACTAGGCCAAAGAAAGAAGCCCTTTAATAACACCAGTATTATTGTTTTTAATCAGAGTGATGAGGGGCTTAAGAACAGATGAGGCAGGAGGGGTGATGAGGGTAGCAGAGGGCACATAACCAGCCAAGGCATGGAGGTGGGAGGGCAGCAGCCCAAGGTCAGGACTAGAAGACCAACTTTTTTTCACAAGACTGATGTATTTGATTACATGATGGCTAAGATTTACCACAGATAAGATAGCATGAGTGCAAGATGCAGTTTTTAAGTTTTCACTCTGATGGCTGGTGCCTATTTTAATAATAATGCAGGGCAAATGCTTTACTACCATGATATAACTACTTCTCCAGGTGTTAGCCTTTAGTAAAACAAACAACCAAATACCTCACATCTCCAAAACAAGCAAGCAGGCAAGTAAACAAACAAACAACTTGGCTCAGGCAACTACGGAGTTTTTGATTATGAACTAAGAGCACCTTGATCATAGTCATCTTGAGGTGTTTGGAGGAAGGAAGGAAGATGGGTTCTTTGAACCACATAACTTGGAGAGAAATCTTCAAAGAGTTTAACAGGGGAGTAAGCTTCTGAAGAATCAAAAGAGGGGATCATTTTCAGTAAGAGAAGACATGTGACTGATACTTTCAGTCGGCATGCCAGGGAAAGATAAATTCCAGGCAGGCAGGACCTGCTACTTAATTTGTAGTGCTCAGGGCTAAATGCAAAATGCAGGGCCTTTCATTAGAAATTATTAAGAATTTCAAGAAAGCCACAGTGAAGCATTAAGTTGAGCATGGAGCCTGTCCAAGCTGGGGCCTTGTGCAGCAGCACAGGCTGGACACGCATGAAGCTGGCCCTGGTTCTAGTTACTGTTTTAAACCAAGGCATTCTAGTCCCATTGTCACCAAGACTCAAACTTAAAAACACTTACCACTGCTCTCAGAGCTCTCAGGTAACACTGCCTTCTTAGGATAAGGCCCCAGATGGATTATCCAACACGGACTAGAACAACCTGGGGTCTTGCCTACAGATCTGATAGATTAGGAACGCACTGGACTCTGCTAGATTTGTTACCCACCAATCCTTACTTTGTCATGATCTCAGGATACCCAGGACATCAATGTCTGGGAACTGAGAAAAATTTCACAAAAACACAAACTAAACAGGCAGAAGTTATTACAAAGGAGCCAGGTTTCCTGGATGCAAGTGCTGATTTCTTTCTGGCCTTCCCTTGAGCGGGTCTTAGGCGTGTGCACACAGGCTCAGAAGCACAGGTGAGTTACCACAATAACTCTTTTCAGTTTGTAAAAATAGAGGAAATAGGAGAAGCTGCTCCCGGCCCAGGAGACACTTGCTTGTTTCACTAACAGTGTGCTTACTACCCTCTCCCTCTCCTCTGCTTATGCTAAGTTGGAGCTATGACTTCATTCTCCACGGAAGTTAATTTCTCTTTCCTGGATGCTTGGAAGAGGCCAGAGGACATGCTATTAGAGGGTAGCAGTCATGACTAAAAAAAAAAAAAAAAGTCACATTTCTTTATCTTCACCTGCCCTCCTCAGGTTATCATTCCAGTGAGGACTGACGGGGGGGGGGGGGGGGGTAAAGAACCAAGACCAAGATGAATGTCAAGAGAATAATTGCAGTATGGAGTATAATGAACACAGCCTCTTTCTCAGCCATCCTAGGGGCCTTACATATACTGAGCCTGACTGTTGTTGAGATAGACCCACAGCTTGGGCAGATATTGGTAGGTGCTGATGACACTCCTGTTCTTTATATCTATGCCTTCGCCTCATTTTCTAAAACATGTTATCTGAACTTTCCCTGAGGAGATGAACAAATGTCTTTTCACCTCAGATAGGACACCAATGACAAACCAAAGAATAGATTTCACTCAGGTCTAGCTTGGTACACGGATGTGTTTAATTAGGGTTACTTACAGGAACATGGGCAGCATAGAAGAAAATGAAAAAAAAAAAGGAAGAAAATGTCTCATTCCCAACAACTGTTGACTATCTACACCTTCTCAGGAAGGGATGGGGTACCCAGGAACTATCAACTGTCTGTCCATCAATCCCTGGGGAGAAGGACAGCCTCGTGAACCTCTCCTCCCCTCTGTGAGCAAAGTTACTGGATCCAGTCTTAGGCAGGTCTTTCGTGGGTAACCACAGCTGCTCAGAGTTCACTAAGGCAAAGGCTGTATCATGTCTGGGTGCAGCATATCACAACGACTAGCTTACTCTTACAGCCACAATTAGACTTTGGTACTAAATCAACTGCCAGATCTAGGATTTAAGATTTTCAAAGTTAACTGTTGGCAAAGTTTGTCTTTTATTTTGCCCAGTGGATGTGTACTGTGCTCGGTAAGGCCACTAGGATTCTTTAGTCTAGGGAGACGTGTTTGGATCTCTGTACTGATGCCCACTTTCTCTTTTGCTGAGGTGAGAGGGGCTCACTCATCATTTTCAAGTGTTTTAACAATTGGTAATTAGCAAAGGAGGTCTTAAACTTTATATATTAAAGAAAAGTGACTGGCCTTCACAACAGACACACACAAAACCCTGATTCATTTAAGGTGATTCTCCCCTGCTGTAAACAGGAAGTGTAACATGTACATTTACATATGTACGCACATCAGCCTTAGCAATAGTACTGTGAAGGAGATGAGGGTAGATGGTTTTCTAGTTGTTTGACAAATACACTCTCACACGGACAGGAAGGTAGCGCTGGGCAAATCCTATAACACTGGCTCCTCTGTCGTTCTGCTCTGGAATTGGAGCACCATTGTTTCTCCTGACCTGATGTAAATGCTGGACAGTGTAATTTTCCTGCAAGCATGTTTTACTATTTATTTCTCCCTCTTTCTTTCTTCATGTCTGAGACTGTATAAACTACTGGTAATTGTGTTTGTTCTTAAGTTTATGCTTGCTTTTTATGAGATATTACAGATTTTAGCCTTTGAAGAGACCATTGGAAAGGAAGAACATCTCTAAAATGTAGAATTATAAATAATGCTGGGACACTTTGTTTGGAGTAATGGTCACTGTATAGTTGATGTTGGTTCCCGAGATGTGTTCCAGCCCCTTGTCCTGAGGTCTGACGTGACACAGGAGGAAGCAAAGGCTTCTCTGTGGCAGGCTGTGCTCATCAACACCCACTGTTCTCCTGAGGTCCCAGGAAAGGCCCGAGCAGTGTCCTACCTTTCCATTGAACTGCTTTAACTAGGAAATGCCCTCACCTGGGTGTTAGGGCTGTGCCCGATCAGCCCTTGACCTTACATGGTCTATCTTGGCTCAACTCTCATGAAGGCAGGGATAGGCTATTTTGAAATTATGTTAACTCTCTGTTACCTCTTCTGTTCTAACTAAAAAAGCAAAACAAAAAACCACCTATAATTTCTTGTTATTAGTGTCAACTAATAACATCTAGTGAGTGCTTAGGAAATACAATTTTATTTTAATTAATCCTAAATGTAATGTAATAATGACGGAAAACCAGTAGAGAAAAAACATAGAATGATTTTCGAAGGTACACCTAATAAATAAATACTTAATTCTGAATTTACTTCCATCATTCCTTGTTTGTTTCCAAATGGCAACAATTTAGTTACTTGTGCTAATCTGAAAAAACCAGAATCAAGACTGTGAGTTTCTTTTCTGATGGTAGGACCTGTGACATTCTCTGAATCGTGACAATGTTTGAGTAATGCCTGCTACGTGAAAGTGATTCTCTTTAAAGGACACTGCCCTATCAATCCCTCTCCATAGCTGCTTTTGTATGGAACTCAGGCTCTACTCCGACTGGGGCTGCACCTTGGCTGTCTGTTATTCCATCAGGTACCCTCTTCTGCAGTTACTGCTCAGACATGCAGCGTGTGCATTTGGGGGTGGCACACAGTGGACCAGGAAAGGCTACGGAGCACTGTTGTACCGGTGCACGTATTGTAAGGAAGTAGTTACATCGCAACCACTTTGCTCTTTTATATTCCAGGCAACACACTGATGAATATAATTCATAATGAACATATTCAACATTTTTTCCATCAGTTCAATACATTATTCATACAGATCAGAGATGGGAAAGACTTAGTAGGTAGATTATGGAGTGCAGACCTCTTCTTTGCACTTTCTTTTTCTTCAAATGTTGATACTAGCTAAAAAACCAAAACCAAAACCTAAGCCAAAACCCACCCATAATTACAAAATAAAATAAAACAACAGATATATAAGGAAAGCAGAAGGTTCATAGGCTTTATAAATACAAAGGAGAATTCAGAAGCCTGTAATCTGGCCAGGCTGTGGGAGAGGGGAGTTTCTGTCTTTTCCTAGGTAGAAGGCTGAGTATTGCTGACTCTTCACAAGACAGAGAGGCCAAGAGAGAGGAGTGCCACTTTCTGCTCCTGAGGTTGCAATTCATAAAGCCTGAGTTTTCCGCCAAGTGTTCACTGTCTGACTCTGCAACCTGGTGTGGATTTAGGATGCAGGTACTACAGATAACTCTAGTTAGGACTCCAGGCACCGATGAGAATGATGAAGAGAAGATGTATAAATGAATAGAGTTAAAACCACTAGAGGATGCTCCCTGGGATTATCTGTACTATCAAGATAGGAAGACTCTGCAGATGCTCCTGTCTCTCTAGAGGAATAAATGCATGCATTTTAATATTCCCAGCAGCTGGTTCCTGTTGAATGCCATCAGGATGATTCAGCCACCCACCAGGAACACCAGGAACAGCAAGTGCACACACAGAAATCTGCAAAACTTTTTTCTTTTGATGCCAACACTATTACTCTGGCAAAGTCGAAATCCTTCTTTGAATTACCAGTTTCCCTAAATGTGACCTTGTTTCCCTCACAACTAGCAGCTCACACTCACATAACAGGAACGCTGGCAGATTAAAAGGCAACATTCTTCCTGACTTGAGCATACCCTGACGTCAGCCCATCCTTTGCATGCCCACATCATCTACTTCGTTTTCATTTTCTCACTGTTCAATAACACCTTGAAGGACCAGCATCCATATGCACTCAGTTTCCCCAGTATGCTGCTCTCCCTACATTCGAACCCTTGCAATTAATGTTAGTTCTATCTCTGCCTTTATATACTTCAATTAAAAAATCATTTTCATGTTGTTAGTGTTTTTTTCCCTTTCACAATATGTGGTTACATGTTTAAAAAAACAACAACGTATAGGAAAACTATATTAACCATAAACCTCATTAATAGAGAATTACAATGCCATATTTTGGACAATTAAAACTTCCCTACTTGCCTCTTCAAATTTAGCTACAATTAGACCATTAAGGGAAGAAAATGCCAAATATGACAGCTAGAGTTCACTAAGCCTCACTGCTATATTTTCAGGTCTCTAAAGTAAAATCTAGGGACATTCAGCACAGAGTCAGGTGCTTTCAATGGCCATGAAAATATATGGCTGAAGAGGGAATCTATAAATGTAATGAATACACAATTGGCTTATAACAGATGCAACCAAAATTATATTCAAGATCTTGACCTGCTCTCTGAAGTGAAAGTTTCTATACCAACTTACAGACAGAGCTATAACAAGATCATTAATCACATAAACCATGAACACAAGCAGACACTTCTGGGGATGCTGCAAAGAGCCATCCTAAGTGGTTGAGGTTCTATGGGGAACCTGAAAGCTAATGTGGCACACAGAGTCCACAGTGAACAACACTGATGTCTTTGATGGCGTATCTGGAGCCAGCACTGGCCATGACCACCACTGTCCTAAACCTCCAGGAGAGAATTGAAGAGGGTTGTGAAGGAGGAACAGGTACAATATGGGCTTGTATAAGGAGAGCCTATACATTTTTTCATCCAGATCCTATTACGTAAAAGTCATTCTGTACACAGACAGATAAAATGCCGAACTCGATTTATGGCTTTAAGGATTATATTAATAGGGAAAAACCTAGAAGTAGGGCAATAGTAGTGATAGTACTAATAAATTTGATATTGAGTAGTAACCATGGGCTACTCATTATGCTAAACACCTTATAGATGACATTTCCTAGAATATAATATTTATATATATAATATAATATAATATAATATCCAAGCAAGGTGGCCATTATTTCCTGCTTACAAAGATGAAAATGAGGCTCAGTAAAATTATGTCCATTGCCCCAAATGATAAAGAATTGCCTTTTACTTTACCAACTCAAAGTTGATATGAAAGAGAATATGCCAAGAGTCTGTAAAATACACACGGTGTCATAGAAGGGAAAGAGGGAGAATTTGCCTCTCTTTGGGACTCTGAGGAGGAAGGGATGAAAACATGTGGAGCATACTTAGGAGCCAAGGAGGGGCTCAGCTTGCAGTATCTGTCAGCTCAGGGAATCAGCACTGCCTGATTAGAACTCAGACCCTGTTGAGCAAACGCACAAGCTGGACAGCAGATTCACACGGAGGAAGGCCCATTTCTTTTGAAAAGAAAGTTGTTACTACCAAGTTCTTTCCTCTCTTTTTCTTCTCCTTCTTTTTTTGTTTTTGTGGGGTGAGGGGAGCAGTGTAAACTCTAGAGAGCCCCTAGGTCTTGCATGGTGCTTTTCTATCATTTTCCAAAATACAAAGGTATCCTTGCCATGCAGGCTTCCCCCTTCCTCATTTAAGGTGAGGTTATTGCTACTAAGAAAGGAACCCAGAGGCCTTGGTGCTCTCTTCTTCAGTTCCTTCTGGAACATCAACCCTCTCTAGCTCTACAGAGTAGCCAGGGAACTTTCCTTCATGTCCCACTTTTACCCTTCTCACTGAAGAGCAAGATGTCACTTTGCCATGTGTAAGTTTTCTTCTGGGCAAAGTTAGTGGTTTGATCTCAGAGAAAATTACTTTGTTAGGCCTCTGATCCTCTGTAAAGCCCACTGTTCTTCACAGGAACCAGGGTATAGCATCACTGGTCCAGATAAATCAGTGCTTCATTTTCTCTATTGTAAGCTTTCCCATTAAAATTCTATTTTTCAAATACAAGACACACACACACACACACACACACACACACACACACACACACACGTTTGTAAGAAGAATACAATTTACAAGGCCTTACATCAGACAGTCTAACGTTCTTTCACTGAGATACTTTAGGCTCTTTCAGTCTTTGAGATACAGTGATGCTGGTTCTATGATGCTGATATTTGCTTTTGGACACGTAAAGCTGAGCTTTTAAAATTTCAATCAACAGCATGACAACTGGTTCATAGCAGTTACACTCCTATGACTCTTTAAGCAGATGTGCACAACAGCTCTTTCCAACCATCATCACCCTGGACAACCAAAGTTTATGATGTTACCGTAATTCCCTGGAAGAGTTGAATTCTGTTGTTGATTATACCCTATAGAAAAGTCCTGCCTCTCTATCCACTTTTACAATTGATTGACTCTTCTTTTCCATATCTGTTAATTCTGTTCCCAGCCACAAGCTTTAAACGTCTCCACTAACTAATCATTAGCCCCTACCCTCCTGACCTTGCTCATTGAGTTCACTCTTACTGATGTAATCACACATGCTTATCTGTAGTTACGTTCGTCATGGTGCTTGTTAGAATTACCATCATTCCTACTGTACCTCAGTTCAACCAAATTAAATGTGTTTGGACTTGGTCATCTTTCATTTCTTCAGATGATTTCAAGTAGATATGTTATTTTACATGATCAATAAATATCTTGTCAGTGAAATGATATACTGATAACAGGTTGCTAATTAGGAGCAAAATCTTAAAGACTAGAGGGAATTTTGTAAATTCAGATACTGGCATTTCACTGGCATGCCACAAGTTCAAAATTTCTTAATGTTAACTTAGTCCTTCAGAGTAATCTATTAAAGCAATAGATATAATATATTATATATAATAGGTATCTATGTATGCAATGAGTTCCTTTTTAGAAGGAATATTAAATCTGATCCACACTGACCATTCACTGACTTTCTGATGTAGCCTAAAATGTTCCTTTGCTTTAAAGCTTTTTTGGCTAGTATAGTCTAAAGACTGTAGAGTGGCAGTGTCCTTCACAGACAATGCACATATCTTTTAACTTTTGTTCGTTTTATGGTCATGGTGTGTGCATATATATAAATAAATGCACAATAGTTTAGCTTCAGAAATGTTTATCCTAAACTCTAAAAACGTAGCTTAACTAGAACATTGGATATCTGGCCTCTCCTCATTGCTGTTTTGCTATAAGGCTCTGAGTGCCGCCTTATAAAACATCTATCCATTTATTTGCACGTTTAATCTGAAGTGTAGAGTTTCAGGACTGGGAATGGGTTGCAGGTTGTTCTCTCCTGGTTATTTTTGGCTTTAAGAACATTGATCACTTTATCATTTTCTTGTGTTAAACTGCTTTAAACACAGCACAAATGTTATTCTCATCATGCCAGAAATGGGTTTGGAATTGATTTTGAGTTTCCATTAATTTTACTCTTCCCTCTCTGTAATAAGTTTTTTACTTGTTTCAATTCCAAAAGATACTTTTGTTCAAAAGATGTGGGAGAACAATACTTAGGGAGCCTCAGCTGGCCCAGGAAACTCAGATGTTCTACTTTACAGAAGCGAAGTTACTGAATTCACTAGCACGGACTTTGCTAAAATTCGTGAAGACTCATTCATCTGAATGCAGTTTCAAGGGCTTCCTCCCTCTTCTCTCCACAGAAGTGCTCAGCAAAGCATGCATCTTCTGAGAAGCCCGCCTGATTGGTCCGGGTTGGCACTGTTTCAGTGTTTGGCCTACGGCGGCTGCTTAGGCAGAATTTTGTCTCATCTTCCTGTTTTCCTGGAGTGTATCAAGCTCAGACACGTGGTTGCAAAGGAAACCCAAGTCCTTTAAAAATGCTATTTCTTCTGGTGGTAAGGCCAATGCCAGTTCTATTTTGGCCAAATGATCTTATCAAGATTTAACAAGAGATACTCAGTAACACCTCCAGTCTATGAGAAGACAGACCAAGGAAGAGAACTTATTACATCTTGCATACATATATTTCCCCTCCTGGTACCAGGGAAGGGTAATGTTCAAACTTATTATTGGTACTGAAGATAATACAAACTGACAAGAATGCTGTGGCAATTACTCATTTTGATTAATTTACGAAGAAATAAACAAGTATTTCTTTCTATATTAAAACAGACACTAGAGATCTATTTTCAGTCATTGTATTTTTGCTCCCATAAAGGCACCTTACAGGTCTGCCTTACCATCCACGGTGCTGTCACAATTCAGAATTTGTTGCATTTCAGCCAGATTCTCTAGACTAACTAGATGAAACAATTGCATTACAGCATTAAGATTCCTTTGCGGAGTCAAATGAAAGGGGAGCTGTACAGTTCAGATAGCTTGAAAGGCTTGTCACGAACACAGGCAAACACTGCACATGCTATATTTTTCCAGGTTTATAGTCCCTCTATGAAAACTGCTAGGTTTTCACTCCACACTTAGGAGTATTAAGAACCACAGGGAGAAATTTAGATAGGTAAGCCACACTTCCCACCCTACCCTTACTGCTCCCCTGCAGTTCTGTGTTCCCTAACAAATGCTCCATGTCTTTAAAAAGGGCCAGGAAATCTCTTCCTCCAACTCTACGGGCTTTGATTTTATGTGTGTATCATGACACACCTTAAAACAGAGAGTCCCACAGACTGCAGTGGGACGTTCATTTAAATCCAGACTTAGGGGGAAGAGCTCCATCTACTGAATCAGTTAGATCACAGTGTGCACCCTATAGTTATCCCCTTCATTACTTTAACACTTAGAAGCCCTGGAGAGAACAGACAAGTTACAGGCATGACCATCGAAACAACTAGTTGTGAGCCTAATGCTCTTTTGGATATTTCCCAGATGCCCTAAGCCCCCTTTCCTTTGTCCTTCCCAGTTTTCAAAGCTTTGTATGCTTCAATATAAAACGAAAACAGGATGTTTTGCTATGTGAACCATCTCTTGGAAGCAACAGAAAGCCATTGGCATTGAAGGAAAAGCCTTAGCTAGGTGAAGGGAATATGCAGGAAGAAAAACTGTCCCTGGCAGGTTGAATAAACTAGGAAAATGCAAAAACCCAGTAGCTTCCTTACTCCTCCTACCTTGTATGATTTCTGAGAAAGGCTACAGCCCCCTGGGCCGGCTCTCTGGGCTCTCCTTAGCTGCTGTGTTGCTGTGGCATTGGGAATGTGCTGTGGCTTCCTACGATTATAGGGAAATGCTTCACAAGCCAAAAAAGTCACAAACAAATTCAAAATGAAAAAAAAAAAAGCATAAAACAGCTGATTTTATTGGAAAAGGTCTTGGCATTTCCATGCATATGCCACAATTTTCTTTGGTAGTTCCTAGTTCTATGATCAGAAAAATTATTATGTCATACTTATTAGTGCCGTTTTTTTCAGGGTTGCTGATGGTACAGCCTGGATAAACAGACCCACGAGATACAAGGTAAAGATGATATCTCCTGTTTGAAAACTTTCTAGGAGATCACAGGTTTAAAAGTTTCTTTCTCAGAGTGCTAGTGACATTTAGAAACATATAGTCTCTCTAGATTAGAAAAGAATAAAAGAAAATCAAAATAAAAAAACCAAAAAACCACTTGTTAACACACTAACAGATATGGAATAAAGCAAGTGCTATCTGAATAAACTTAGCATTAAAATCTGCATAAAATGTAGGAGTGTGCAAGACCTATGAAATAGAAACTAAGGTAACTTATAAAAATATAAACCTGTTTAGAAGCATATGTGGATAATAATCAGAAGTAACAGTTTATTGGATTTTTAAATTACAGAAAAATGATAAAATAACAAAAGTTCACTAAATTTTTTCTTTTATGTAAAAAATTAATATAAATGTTAAGTGGCTTTGTGTGTCTTTTGCTGTATATGCAAGTATGCATGCATATGTGTTTACATATATCTGCATACACACACACACACACACACACACACACACACACACACACACACACACCCCTGCATTAAGTAATGCTGTTTGGCAATGAAGGGTAATATGACAAATGAAACGTTAAGCTGAATTATTTCAAATTGGGTATTAAAATTATCAGTAGGCTACTTATAGGCGCCTTAATATTTCTTTTTAGCACACTAAATTTTTGAATTTGATCTTAAACCACATAAAGAAAACCGAATTAGAAAAGAATTGCATATCAAAATGTATTTTGTTAAAAAACCTGATTATTTACATTTATTAGAATATTTAAAATTCATAAAACAAAAATACAAATACAAAACAATAACAACAAAACCCAAATGACTAACTAGATTTTTAAAAAATTCTTTTCAGTTTTGAGTCACAAATAAGTACGAGAAATTTCATCTTAGAGGGTAACTTGTTTGGATAGTTCTAAAAGCTCACAAATGAAAAAAAACCCTCCACCATAACTGTAACAAACAGCTAATGAAGAGCTCCATTCTAGCAAGAATCCATCAGAACTGCAAGCTGGAGAGGGACATTGCAGACCTGAGAGAGGACTACATGGGGCCCCACTGGACGGACGGAGTTATGGAGATGCAGCTTTCTGGAAATGGGAAGTGTCACCATCAGGGACAGCAAGGACTGCGCTGGGGCAGCAGCAAGGACAGCGCAGCCACCCAGAACACCTGGTCCTGTCTGCAGTGGAGGCCAAGTCAGCAAGAGGACAATCCACTGCTTTTGTCATTTTCCTCTGCAAGGCTGGCTTAAGGGAAAAAAAAGCTTGCACAAAAGATACATGTGTTCCTTTTCTGGTATTATTACAGGCCCACCTAGATTTAGCTTTCGATTCTAGATGAGATCAGACATGTTCAGACTAGCACATCTTTGCTTTGTAAGCACTAAGCTTCCAGCATTTTACTGGCAAATTCGAGTATCCCTAAATTTATGCACAATAGATGCCCCTAAAAATCTGCAAATCTTCGGTTTCAGTCAAATTCCTCATTGAGTTAATTTTTTTCTCCATTTACTCTACTAGTAATAAGCCAGAAAGTTAAGGCAGGCAACTCATATAGGAAAGAAAAGTTGAATAGTACTTACCCTAAGTACAGTGTGCAAGCCTTAGTGGGCAATTCACTTTTTCTCTATGATAGTTAGAAGGGTATCCAGGTCTGAACTCAGCTCTTGCCCCTTTCCCTTCTGGAAAACTGAGTAGACTCACTGAAGGTGCCTCAGAGAAGGATCACACAAATCGACAGCCTTACCTGTGGCCATCCAGAAGACTGCACTTGGTATGCATTTAAAACTATGAATAAAGTCAGAGACAGCGCATGCTCAGCAGGCAATTTAAAAATATTTATAACATTGTTGTCTCACAAACAAATTTCCTCAAACAAAGCAAAACTCACATTTCTTATCCACGCCAAGTTTAACGTTCTGAGACAGAGCTGTTTTGGAGTTTTCCGTTGGGGGAAAAAGGTTTTTAAAAAAAATTTTTTTTTGAGTCGAAGGAGAATAGTTCTCCCTTCCCTTTTGGGTACCCTTAAAGGGGTGGAATAAATTTCTCTTCAAGTTTCAACAAAATTCACCGTTGGTTATGAAAAGACATAGCACAGAAAAGGTTCATGAAAAATAATTTCAGAGTAAGTAACAAGAAACTAAAAACTACAGGTCTAAAGCATGTAGCAGTCACCTGAACCTTTAAGGCAGTCTTGTGTTGTTAACACAAACACACCCCCACACAATCAGGATCTAGTATGTTCTGTATGGCAAGAATAATGTATAGACAACCTTTATGCATATCGAGAGAAGTTATGCTTTTTTTTTTCTAACTAAAATCTGAACTCTTCAAAACTAAAAAAGAAAAGCATCGAATTTTAGGTCAAATCCAGCAATAATTGTCAGTATAACTGTTTTATACAGCTGTCGTGGAAAGGTAGCCGGTCGACCACACATTGGTCAGTTAAATTTTGAGATACACAAAATAAAAATTTGATTGAGTTAAGGTTTTAAAAGTACTAATTGTAGCAGGAATGCCTGCCTGCCTCTCTCCTGTTTGGGAATTTCTCCTTCTCTGCCTTGAATGCCCTAAATATCCCATTTACCATCTCTCACCAAACCCCGAACCAACAGCCCACAGATCTCAAAGACCTTATTTAAACCTCTTACTTAATTCTTAAGTCTCGGAATGGATTGCAACTTCTGCTCCACTTTCCAGGGGTGCTCAGCTGGCCTCACAAAAGCCCCACAGACATACCCTTAACTACCTCTGATGTTTGCTGAACAGAGGGTGCCGGGGTGGGGGCAAAATCAAGAATTGAACAAAAGTTGATTAAAGTGAAACTAGGTACAGATTTGAAGAAGTCGCCTCTACTTTTATTCCGCTCTCAACTCCACACAGGTGTTTCCTAACTCACACTGCTGTGCACGCTGCTGAGGAGGAGGAGGAGGAGGGAGCCTGAAGGTGAGGGAGGAGGAGGGAGCCTGAGGTGAGGGAGGAGTGGGCCAAGGTCTGACCAGCAGACATTTAGGAGCTGCAGTCTCCTGTGTTAATGGATGTGTTTAAAAACGGACCCCCCAAAAAAAGCAGCCCAGAATGAGGTTTCTTTTTGGCAAGTGATTAAACCACTATACTGAAATAATTAAAGCTTTGTCCTTAAATAAAGCATCAGATCAACAGAACAAAAACAAAGATAAAAATTGCACACACATATGCATGCATGCACACACACTCTGACACACATACACAAAACTAGCGGGTGAAGGGAGAAGGAAATTAAATAAAAGAAAACAAACAGAGTCCTAACAGGCCATTCTCCAAAAAGAAATCTAAATAAAAAGTCATATGATATCTGATAGTGCAGGACACGTCGCCAAGAACCAGAGCGGATTGCCTCCAGGAAGAAAGGGCCAGTGTATTCCAGCTCAAAGAGCTTTTCTTTCCTCCTCCTCTATTTTTTTCCCCTTTCTCCTCGACTGTGAATGTTCCTCTCAGGTCAGATCTAGGAAGAAGCCCAGAGTGACAGCTATCACCTTTCACTGTACTCTGCCGGCACAGCTAGCTGATGGGAGCTGCCTGCCTTGGATCAAGGGGAGCCACGCTGCTCTCAGCAACAGCCTCTTCTAGTCCTTCTGTCCCTATGAGAAAACACTCCGGTCACATCAAAAACCAGAGAGGGAGAGAGGAAGGGTGGGGAGAAGAGAGACACACACAACCCAAAATATGCAGGTATAACAGCTGCAGCAACAAGAGGGTTCAGGAAAAAAAAAAAAAGAAAGAAAGAAAAAAAAAGAAAAAGAAATCAAGTCTCTGTATGGGGGTGGGAGGGAGGAAAAAATTCTCAAACCTCTTGCTTTCAATCTAAAACTTTTTAAAGACAAAGTTGCTTTTATTTTTGATGGCTAACTTTCATTTTAGGATCGTTTACCCCTTAAGCACTATTAAAAGCATTAAAAATTCTACAAAAATATAGACATCTGAGTGTAATTCAAGAATTTTCCTCAAGAAAACATGTAACTGTAACAAGTGATCTACCCTAGAAATTTTGGATTTGTCCAAACTTCCCCTACTTCTAGTATCTTTCCGTGAGGTCAAGTGCTAGCTCGGCCACCCAGTGCCAGGTTTAATTTGAGGGTCATTACTGAAGGAGCATAGACATAGAAGGAAGGTTCCCGAAAAGACTCCTTGTTATCAAGTTACTTCAAACACAAGCACTCGGACCTCCCAGCCGGGACGGTTGACTAGTGAGGCGTTGCCCTCTGCCCCAGAAACACTGTGCCCTTAAGAAATCCAGATAGACACGCATTTCATAAATATGGGAAAATGTGTATGTCTGGAGTATTTCTTATAGTTTCCACTCCCAGGGTTAATGAATAGATTCTATTTTTCCATAAATGGGAGGAAGAAAGAAGGAGAGAGTTTCTGAGTCGTGAACAGCTGTAGTAGTTGCTTCCTCTGAGCCACAGTTATGTGCAGTTAGGTGCTCAGCTAATCTGTCTTTTCGGTTTTGGTGGCGCTTCTGGCTATTTACTCTTTGCTCAGTTTAGTGTCAATTATGTACCTTCAAAAGATTACCAAACAACAATCAAAATATACATGCATTAAGAGTAGAACTTTCAGAAAGAAAGCATTTCCTAGGGATTATAATTCAAGGATATCAGTATAAAAATATAAATGTACAGCATGTATTAAAGATAAGACTGTTTACTACACTTTGCACATACAGTTTACATCCTGATTTTTTCTTTTCTTTTGTTAGAGTATTAATTTGAAAATGATAAGAATTTTGGAATGTTTGCTACAAACACAAATTCACAGTGGAAATACACACGCATAGGCAAAACATCAAACAGAATACAAAGCTACGTGGCAATCAGAATTGTTGAAAAACCTCTGTCTAGGCTATATTTTTCTTGAACTAATATAACATAGACTGAACAAGTAATGTCTCTGGGGGTTTGGTCATTTATGTCATAGAAACAAAATATGAAAGGTAAATATCTACCCCCTTACTACCTCTTCTTTTAACTGACAAGTGGCACAAGCGATGCCTTTTAGGCAGATGGATGCAAAAACTTGCGAGATCAAATGAACTGATGTACCCCATTGGTATTTTGGGAGCTCAAATTCCATAATTAACTTTTTGCCCAAGTGGCAAAAGTAGAGGATGTTCTTGTCACTAAATTGATTATTTGATGGACTCCTGCTCTTTCTCCTACAAGATTTCAGGGACACAAAAATGGAAGAGACATGCTAAGAGAGGGTGCCTCCTGAGCAACTTTTACTGTGAGTAGGAAAGAACAGCAGAGTGAGCAGAGGAACAGTTGAATTTAGAAAGATTGGAAGAGGAGAAAAGAGCAACACAGCCAACTTAATTAGCCATTCCTTTTAATTTCTCATGGATATATGTAGGGTGACGGAGAGAAAGATAACTGGGTTTCTTTTGAATGTCTTTGTGTGTTTATAATGTTCTGTTCCTGTCTCTTTCTTTTTCAGGCAAAAAAACTAATAAAAATAGAAAAACATATATCAGACATTAAGCCCCCCCTCCCTTTGTAAAGAACTCTTTGTTCTCCAGTGAAAATGCTGAAAAATCCCCGGGCAGCTACTCCCTGAAACAAGTGCAAAACACTTAGAGGCTTTTGGGCTGGCTGGGAGCCAGGAACCCTCCCGCTGTCTGGTTAGAAGAGGAAAAAAAGAAGAGAGAGGGGAAGAGGGATGGGGGAGAGGGAGAGAGGAAGGGAGGGAGGGAAGGAGAGAGAGAGAGAGAGGGAGAGAGAGAGAGAGAGAGAGAGAGAGAGAGAGAGAGAGAGAGAGAGAGAGAGAAAAGAGGAGAGAGAAATTGGAGCTTCCTTTTAACAGACCCTAGGAAGCAGCGTTTTTTCTTTTTCTTTCTTTTCTTTTCTGTTTTTTTCAAAACTGGCGGTCAAGCGTTAAGTAACTCCCGTCTAAATCCACCTGCTAGAAATGAACTTGGGTACCCCCCAGGGGTGCACAAAGACAGAGAAGACAGTAACACACTCCACACTCTCTCCCACCCGTGTACTGCTTCCATTCTCCCTGCTCCCATACACAAATGCCCACAGCTTCTCACGCCGCCCCTCTTACCCCCCAACAACAAACACAGCAAAATACATGCTCCCTCAGTCTCCTTAAAAAAAAAAAGCCTTTCCACCTCGGTTGCGACACAGTGATAAGGGGTAGAACATCTCATACCTGGTGTGAATGCTAATCAGTCAGGAGTTCTCCTTTTCCCAAGACAGGGAACTGTTTCCTTCCAAATTTATTAGAACCTCCTCCACTGCCTCTTTGAAAAACCTTCTTTGTCACCCTCTCCCAAGTCCCGATACTTCTTTAAAAAAAAAATGGCTTCGGAGCTCCTTCTATTCTTGATATTGATTCTCTCTCTCTCCCCCCACCCCTCCTCCTCTCTCCTGTCTGTGTCTCTTCTGAGTGGTCTATTGATAAGTCCCTGGAGGCACTGGGTCAGCCTGCCCGTAGGAAACCAGACACAATGCACAAATCTCCGAGTGCCATACTGCCATCAGCAAGCAGACCACGTTTAGGAGAGAGAGAGGGAAAAAAAAACAGTAGAGCAAGAGACAGAGAGAGAGAGAGAGAGAGAGAGAGAGAGAGAGAGAGAGAGAGAGAGAGAGCGCAAACGAGGGAGGGAGAGAGAGACTGAGAGAGAGGAAGAGAGAGGGAGGAGAGAGAGAGAGGGGGAGAGACAGAGACACACCGAGAAGGAGAGAGAGCGTGTGAGAAAAAGACTGATTGGAACAGGAGGGAGGGAGAGAGAGAAAGGGAGAGGGAGAGAGAGCGCGAGAGGGAGAGCGACACTGCCAGTCAGGTTAATCATCCCTACTTTAATTAGCTGTTCGGCTTAGACATAAAACAATTGAATTTGAATGATCTGTCAGCAGGCTCGGCTGAACCAGAGGGGAAGCGAATATTACAAAAAGACTGTTGGTGTGTTCTGATAAGCAATACTGCTCGTACTGACAAACCCTCAAAGGGGAACTATTCAAACTTACAACTAAACAAAAAGTGCAGATACAAATGGCACCGGATAGAGGTCTTTTTTAAAAAATGCAGTTTTCTCCCCTAGTTTTGTGAATCGTAGATATTTGTAAGCAGGTGCCAGCGTGTTGGGGGTTTGTGTGTCATGTGTGAAAGTTTATTAACGATGGTCTAGGAGTACAGCAGACAGATGCTGCAGGGAACAAGACAGGTACAGTCAGATGCCGAATCTAGATCTTGGAGGGAGATGGATGCTGGAAAAAGAGGCACCATGGAAAGAGATCAGCACAAAGTCAGTGGGCAGAAAGGCAGACAGATTTTAGGCATGGCACGATCTTATCTAAAAAGGCAAAAGTTCTGATGCAATAATAGGTGCAAAACAGTCCATCCCCCCTCCTCTCCCGGGTGCACTCCAAGGTACAGTTACAATGGATTAATCTTCGTGACAAACAGAGCAGGCTAGGCAGACCACGGCAGACACTGAAGGCGATTTGCAGACTCAGAGAATACAAAGCTGGAGAAAGACCTAGAGATGAACCTCTCCCATCCCTCATTCGGCGAGGGAGGAAACTGAGGCCCAGAAACTCAGAGCAATAAATCACAAAGGCAGTAACTGTGTTAACACTAGAACCCAGAGTTCTAAAAGCCTGGAGACCTGTTTCATGTATCACCAAACTGCTAGAATTCCTTAAAGATTCTGGCCCAACAGATATGAAAATCACCCTTGCCTCCAGGATAACAATATTCCTCCATCTAAAGAATTAGTGCAAAAACCTCCATTTCTCCCCAAATATCTACATCCAAGGGAAATAATTTTTGGTTTGTTTTCTGTTCATTTTCAGAGTATAGCAGACAGATGTAACATTATGAGGTCCCGTCTGAGCAAGGTAGAGCTTGTGCTACATTTTCACGCTAACACAGGGAGTGGATTGATCTGCAAAGACCTCGCCCAGACTTTACAATCTCCTCGGTGAACATCATCTACTATGTGCCACCATGTAAGAAGATGTGGCTTTTAATAAAACACATTTCTAAAATACGGGCACAGTGTGGGTGAAAGAGATTGAGTCTTTCAGTTTATGATAGAGTTTTAAATGACTAATGAGATTTTCTACCTAGATGATTAGCTATGGGCAACTTTTCTGATATATTTCAATTGAAACAAGCCACCAAAAAAGGGGGGCAATTGTATTATTTGCTCATGAATTTGATTACATGTTTTTGGGGACACACGATCACATTTAGAAAGGAGCTCTCTCTTGACAACAGAAAATTGAGGGTGTGTGTTTTAAAAGGAGGGGGTGCTTATAAAAAGAACAGTGCCATCAGATGTTACTGGAGAGATTAAGCCTCTCGTCCTAAAACAAGAATCATGATGTATATAAAAGCAAAAACTGTCAGTCATGCTTCAGTAACGACGGTGCTACTTAGGGTAAAAGAAGAAAATCGAAAGAAATGTCAGGCACCTGGAACCCACTCAAAAGCAAGCACCCGAAAGAAGTCATAGCCCAAGTGATTTAGTTTATTTGCACACTGACCTCTTTACCAATAGCTGCTGTGACTGGCCGGAAATACAAGGTCCACAGCCAGTTTGGAGGTGAGAGAGAGAGAAATTTTAACATTGGGTGATCCTCCTGCAGTCTCAAAGTATATGATGGGG